TGCAATTTCATTACCTACTCTTTTAAAATAAATTAGTCAAAATGACTAGTTTTCAAAGTGAAAAACAGTCACTTATAACTGTAGTCCACAGCAATTTTTATTCCGGAAATTCCTATGTGAAATTATCCCCTGAATCCGAAAAGACCGTAAAATATAAATAATTATTATAAAAGTATAGCAATTTTAAAGATATAGTCAGTTCCATAATTGACTATATCTCAAAAATTGTTCTACTTTTATAACTTTGGACAACATTTTCGGATTCAGCGGACAATTTTATATAAGAATTGACTGCTAATGACTACAAATCGCTGTTAACGGTAATTATTAGTCATTTTTAGAGAAAACATTGTACATTAATAATTATAATTTTTGTTAGACGTAAGCAACATTTAATTCGTGTTTTATAGGAGCTTACTTTTATTAACGCAAATTAGATACCTACATAATGAAGTAAATTAGTGGATATTAAGTTGGTGTAGATGGCAATTAAGTTTGAAAAAGGTTAAAATTACATAAAAACGAGTGTCAAGTTAAACTTGTTGCAGCACTCCTTCCTTTCTGACTTTATCCTATTAGTCCTTTTGAGCAGACAATCCAATTTTCTCCACTTTTTTGTTGCTCCTTTTATTTCAGTGAGCACTACATTTAAAGTTAAATTCTAGTTCTAGAATTGCTGCATTTTAATGAGCATTTTGTCGAAAAATAAAATAAAAATTCCTCCTTTTATTTAATATAGTATATTTAATATAATAATAATAATATTTATTCAAAAAAGCCACTTGGGCAACGAACACGTCAATACAAAAAAATAGCAGTATACAGATATAATACAAAATACAATGCAAAAATAAAATTAATTTACAATAGTTGAAAATCCAAAGTAAAGATAAAATGGCAAATTATTAAAATAGTTTTCAAGATATAGGTACGCATAACTATAGTAATAAAACAAATCAAAATTTATTGTAAAATATGTAAAAATTTTAAAATTTGTGCTTTAAATTTTTATCATTTAATGTTTTTATTTGATGTGGAATGTGATTGTAAATCTTTATTATTTCACCCTTTACACTTCTTTGAACTAAGGATAACTTTTTTTATTAGGAATTAAAAGGTTTTTATGTATAGTTTGATAAGTATGTGATAGGAATTGTTCATAAAAAAAATTTAAATTTTTTCTTAAAAACATAATACACTCTAGTGTATATTTATATAAATAGATGTTACTGTGAGAATTTTGCATTGTAGATTAAATATACTTCGTAGGCACCTTTTTTGCAGGACTTTTATTCTTATGGCATATGACATCTTTTATTGATTAATTGTTGAGTTACATAAAGACAATGGAAGTCCAAAATTTACCCATTAATCATTCAAAAACTTCAAAAAACAACATCTTTTATTCTTATGACATCATATAACAACAGAGATACAGGATGATCTTGCTTTTCTACAAACCTCTAAAAGTACTACTCTTAGGAACTCCTTTTTAAAATCCTTTTTGTTTTGAATATAATTCGGAAAAATATTTTATTTATCGTTCTGATCATATATTTTATTTAAAGATTTTTTTCTACTCCCACCTTTAAAACGCCCTTTATCGTACATGTTGCCATGACACTAAGTGACCTTTTAAATACACATTGACAAGTTGTGGTTTTACGGCGCTTTAGTCACGGGCTGAAGTTATAACTTGCTATAGCAACAGGTTTTTAGTCACGGGCTGAAGTAAGTTTTAAGTTAGTTGACAGTTGTCAAATGTCATACAATCGTTAAAATAAAGTGCCTTTCTTGTAAAATAATACTAAATGTGAAAATTATTTTATTATTTTTTGTACTGACCTTTTAATTTCGCCGGCAGTAAACTATAACTTAAATTCGGGCACGGACTCTACTTTAAGTCCTTATAAAACATTTCCTTTACTTTCACTGTGAAAAACTGTCAATTTTCAATATACATTTCGATTTATAACCTTTATCATTGTGTTTATAAAATGTAAAAATGTGACATTTGACAGTTTCCCCTGTTGTTTCATAGATGGCGTACTATACAAATTTTTTATTTAAATCATTTTAAGATAATAATAAGTATTTGTCGTAGAAAAAGTATAGTATGCACCTCGTTTATAAACTTTTCTATACACTCATTAATTTAAGAACTCGCTCGCAAGCTCGCTCGTGCCTAAATTAAATTCTTGTATAAAATGGCGTTTATCAAACTTGATACATAATATACTATTAAGAGACGAAAAAGTTATTGGAAAAACTTAGTTGTGTATATAAATGTATTTTAAATTTTCACTAGTAATACCACTAGAGGTCAAATTATTTCCGGAAATTTTTTCGAGCTCATGAATATTTTGAAAATTATCCCGAGTCGAAGACGAGGGATAATTTTCTAAAAATATTCATGAGGGAGAAAAAATTTCCGTATTTAATTTGACCTTGTGTGGTATTCGGTAAGAAAATTTAACTTGACCTTGACTTGATTATTTAGTTACCATGGCAACTAAGTCAACCCCAACCTAAAAGTTATTTCAGTTTTGAAGCTGTCAAGCGGCACGACGTAAAAAAATGTGAAATTGTCTGCTGTAATGATCAATCATCGTGCAATGACTTATTTACCCGCATTAATAGAGGATTGTGGCTCCTACTTGAAGAAAGAAAATTTGTTTTGAATTGTTCACGAATATTTGCATCTTAACTATTCAAAACTCAAAGTGCTAAATGGAAAAAAAGGTGAATAGAATAGTGTCTAAATATTATATATATTTCATTAGACATAGACATTTAATTTATTTCAAGTCCTGCATTTTCGCCATTAAGAAGAAAGGAGGTGTCCAACGAATATAGAAAACATCTAAACTTTGTAATGGAAATGTATCAAAATTATCATGTAAACAAATAAAAACCAGATTGTCAAAAAAATATTCTGTCATTATAAACGTCAAAAAATTTCCAGTATAATTCGCTGTTGGGTACCCACGAGAAAAATTTCCACTAAAATTCAACCGTTGCCATGGTGATCTATCAAAAATACACGTTTTGATTGGTTAAAAATTACAGGTGTGGAATTTTCAATAGTAGACACAAAGAGGGATGCCAATTCCAGACCATTGCTTCAATCCTGGAATTTTCGGGTCAATCAAATTCCTGGATCCCGGATTTAGTCCTGAAATTTAATTTCTATAGTTTAAAGGTTGGAAAGGATGTTAAATAATTTTTGTCACAAACTGAAAAATACAACACAAAGTAATAAAATACATAACATAACATTCAACAACATACCAGATGTTTTAAATAAATAATGGATATTTCCTTTTTTTGAATATTTATTATTATCGTACATGTTGGTATTTTAGTCACGGGCTGAAGTTATTTTATTTTATTTTTTTATTTTATTATTTTTAATGTGCTTTCAACAGGCACCAGGCCCAATGTCCAAACTAGGTTGCATTAATTCAATTTTTTTTCTATTTACTTAAAACTTTAAAAATAATTAAACTTTGAGACTAACCCATGCTGGTTATTAATTATATAATTTATTTTTTTATTTTCCAGTGTTGCCACATTAGTATTTTTGGAAATTAATTTATAAAATACAGGGTTATCTTCAACTAGTATAACAAACCATGCCAACGTTATCTACGGATCAAAATAAGTCGATTTAACCCAAATTACCTATATACTAAGTTGCTTCGTTTAGTCGTTTAAAGTTTTGAAAAATAACTTTTTTTTAAATATCTTAAAAACGAATTAATGAATTTTGAATATTTTTCGAATATAAGTTTTAACTGCCAATTAACGTCGTTAAGTAAGTTATCTTTAAAAATTAGAATAATTAATAAATAATTAGGTACTAATTTTCGCTTGTATTCTTTTTACTGTTGCTCACTTTGTTTAAAAACTTTTCTGTCTCTTGTAAAAGTTGGATGAGCGGTTTAGCCAGAAAAAAAATATTTTGTAATGTCTGCATACCTACTATCGATATATCGCGATAGTTGCTATGTTTTATTCCGAAAATTATTGAACATATAAATCTAGAGATTCCTTTTCTGAAAATAGGTCAAATTGACTCAACGCAGTTGCTTCGTGTAGCAGATAAAAAGTGAAATACAGAGTGTTGGTAATAGGTAAATGGTGTATAAAGAGGAGGGTGTATTTAGTCACGTGGTAAAGTTTTAAGTTAGTTGACAGTTTTCAAATGTCATACAATCGTTAAAATAATACTAAATGTAAAAATTATTGTATTATACCAATAAAAGAATTGAATAAATTCTTAACCCCAATGTTTGAAAAGTTTATATGAACATTGTACTGAACTTTTAATTTCGCCGGCAGTAAACTAGATTTAACTTAATTTCGGGTGGAGAATCCACAGTGGAGTGCCAATAAAAAATTTTCTTTACTTTCACTATGAAAAACTGCTTCTAATTTGCATTAAAGGGTTTATTTTCAAGAGATACATTTCGATTTACAAGTATGCAACTCGTTTATAAACTTAATACATAATATACAATAATCGACTACATAAATGCTTCTTGAAAATAATCTTCATTCGACCTTAAGGTTTTGTTTATTTCTGGGAAAATAAAGTCACACGGGGCCATATCTGGTGAAAATGAAGACTAGAGCATAATTATTGTGTTGCTTTCTACCAAAAATTAATGAACAAGAAATAAAGTGAGTTGGTATTATTGTGAGGCAGTACCAGTAAAACCCACCATAAAACTTAAAAAATAACTAATAACAAAAAATAAAATAAATATCGTTGTAGTTCGTTTTTAAAATCCCGGCATTTAGTACTGTTTTTTGGGAAAGGCTTTTGTATGGAATTTCGGGATTTATATATTTGTATATTTGTGGATAAATTTGTTTTTTAGTGTTTTTTGCTAATAATATTTTTTTTTTCAGATTCATTTTGTGGAAAACGAAAATACACTGTAACTCTCTTGTAGTCGTGGACCAGCTCTGACGTAGACTCGTTCGATCTTGAGTGCGGGGCCGAGGCAAGGCGAGCGACGAACGGAGGCGAGGCAGCAAAGAGGCGGCAAGATTACCGAGTGCGGAAAGTATTGCGGCCCTGCGGCAAACGGCCCCACAATTTCGTTCAGCAGCTTCCGACAGTCCTTCACCTCGAATGTCAATTACTTGAAGAGACGCTTCAGCTCCGGGGACCTGTCCTCGGAGTGCGACGATGCCGATGCGCCCATCGACCCGTACGCGCCACCTGGCGCCAACAAGCCCACACCTGTCACGTCACAACCTCAGGTAAGAAAGGCTGTATCGACATGGCTCGAAACACTCCACGTATTGTATTCTTTAAGGTTCTATCCATACAGGGCCGGATTAAGAGTTTTGAGGCCCTGGGGCCGACATTTGTTGGGGGCCCTCAATATTTCTAAAAATGTTGACACTTGGGAAATTAAAACTCATGGTTATTTTTTAAGCTAGAGGAACTTTACGTGATTTTTTATTATTTGAATCATTTATTATTTAATAAATTTTAATAAAATCGGCCAAAGCGTTTTTAAGCTATAAATAAAAAACGAAACACCATGTATCTCGATAATGAAGCATTTTCGGACACGTGTTTATAGAAACTTTTTTTCATATTTTGATGAGAGGAATTTACCCTGAGCTTTTGTCACCACAAGTCTGAATCACCCTGTATATTTTGAATAATACGAACATAACCTTATATACGTAGATAGTAGAATAGAATTGTGAATGAAAGTGTTTTTATATACTTTATATTTTATATATTTTGAATATTACGAACATATACATTTTACTCAAGTAAAATATAAATTGATCTATGTTTTGTTTGTATTTTTAATACTTACCGCAAACTGAACAAAAGTGCATCAAAAGTCGTATTATTTGTATGTTTTTCATACAAAATCAAACAATAAAACAATCTTTTGTCCAAAGAAAAGCACAAAACAGTATTTCGGAAACACCGGAAAATATTCCACAACCACTCCAATGTACCAATAAAAATCTGGGACAAAAACTAACTTTAATATTAGATTATAAGTAATTGACTATGAGGCGCCGTTTGTCCGTAAATTATTTTTGCTATATATAAGAATATTTTTTATATATATACTTTAAATTTCCTATATATATAGAAAATTTTTAGTTCCGATAATGCTGCTTGAGAATGAGGGCGCTTTCTGGTATTCAACTAAAAAGCAATGTTGCCAGAGTGGGCCAATGCAAAGTCACACAAAAAATCCGTCAGCCGTAAAAGTATCTTTTTCCCTCGACCTTTATTAAAATCTGCCAGATCTGGCGAAACGTTATGTTGGAAACACTGGCCAAAACTTTGCATTGCACTCTAGCAACAGTGCTTTTTAGTTGATTACCACAAAGCGCCCTCATTCTCAAGCGGCATTATCTGAACTAAAAAGTTTCTATATATAGAAAATTTAAAGTTTATATATAAAAAATATTCTTATATATAGCAAAAATAATTTACGGACAAACGGCGCCTCATAATTGACTGTTTGCTTCTATTTACAAAAACGTTACGACAAGCACTAAAGGAGCAACTGCTTAAAATTGTTATGAGTCATAACTTACGACTATAGACTATATAAAAACGTCTTCGCGCCAAAACTTTGAGTGTGATAATTTACATTCTGATTTGCAAGCGGATAAGCGATAAAAAATCCGCGAAAAATTAGAGTTAGATCTTCGAAAAATTAATTGAAAATTACAAGATTCGCGCGGTATAACCGACCCATTTTTTTGTTTTTTTCGTCAATTTTTTTCATATTTGTTTCATTAAAAAGCTACATATTGCATTGGTGGGGGCCCCTAAATGGTGGGGGCCCTGGGGCCGTAGCCCCGCTGGCCCTATGCTAAATCCGGCTCTGTATCCATATGTTGTGTACTTTAAGATACTTCACTTTGGACTATCCCAGACCGCAAAATCACATTCCCTGCACATGTCAAGAATATTCCCAGGATTATTCCAAGCGTCCCAGAATATTCCCAGGAATATTCCTGGCGTAATAAAATGTCCGCTTTTTGGTTAACCCAGGCATCATAAAAAGAATATTCCATGTATCTGCCTGCAGAAGACTCAAGTATTGTTAGGGGAATATTCCTTGATATAATTTGGGGATTATTCCCAGCCCTTATTGCCTCTTATACCCAGGAACGTTTTGGGAATGTTCCTTATGCCGGTTTAAGGAAATTTTACAGGAACTATGCTCCACCACGTGACTTTGATAAAAATAATTAAGGTTAATTTTTTGTCAGTTTCAAGCTAATTTCGTCTTATTTTCTAAAAATAATATGTATTTTTTGTGTTCTAAATTAAGACCTTTATACACAAAAAGTTCATATATTGCATTGCATTTAGGAAATAGGATAAAATAAGCTTGACACTGACAGAAAATTAACCTTAATTATTTATATCAGTCACATGGTGGGACTTTGATTTGTGGAGTATAGTATTAATAATAACAGAGCTGCAAAATTGTGACAAAACCATTTTATTTAAAAATTACAATATTCTTTAAAAAATAAACAATATTTTTTATAAAAAAATATTTTAATAAATAAATAATTTACATACCTATTAAGGAGCGGCATCGAGCCTGCGTTGCGCCTTTGTTAACCAAATTTCTATCTGACTTCGACTTGTCTGGTCCACCTACAATGTATTTTCCCTATCTATAGCTTACAAATGAAGGTACGGTATATAACGAAAAAAACACAAAAAACGAGTAATAGCAATTGGGGTTAATTAATGCCCAAATATTTAAAAGGTGTTAGTATTATATAAAATACAGTTTTAAACTTAAAAATTAACCTTGCTGTATCAGTAACATTATACAACAAAAAAAATTACATTTTTTGCCCAAAGAAATGCCATAAAGGAAGTGAAAAGAACCATTTTCATTCATATGAACTAACCGATGCTAAAACGTGGTTAAAACAAAATCCAAACAACGAATTAATGGCCTTAGGTACATGAAGAACAATAAATACTACTGCAAGTACCAATATGTTGTGTTGCAGTCTTCAACACAACATATTCGTACTAGTCAATACGTAAAAAATGTTTAAATCCAATTAATTACCTTTTTCAAATGTAAAATGGTAGTTTAACAACTTTATAGATAATTCTTACACAGTTACAATTCTGAGACTGCGAATTAATGGCGTCTCCGATTCATCTCGGACAGAACCGATAGTTACCGATGAACTCAACGCGCCAGTTTTAATTTTTTCCTTTATTGTAGACTCTTTATACCGCACCCAGAGACATTGATGTGTCTCTGAACACATCTCTATGGTTTATACCTATAATCTTGTCAGTAGACATAATTCAAATATAAAATATAACCAATTTATTGTTTTTTAAATATAAAGAACATTCACTGGGAATGTTCTTAGATGGTGCCTGGAAGTTTTAGAGGATCATTCTAGGAATATTCCCGACGAATATTCTCTGGGAATGTTCTTAGATGATGCTTGGAAGTTTTAGAGGATCATTCTGGGAATATTCCCAATGAATATTCCTAGAATGAAGCGGATTATTTCTAGGCGATAGGGAATATTCCTGGAATATTTTCGAACCTTAATTGCAGTCTGGGATATAGTCCAAAGTATAATATAAAACATGATTACAAACAGTGCACTCTATCAGAAACCATTAAAGTTAAACACTTGCATTAACAATAAGCCTTAAAGCTAATTAACCTGAGCACTAGAACACTTGAAATAATAAAAATAAATATATTTTATTTCAGTAACAAATCACATTTAGCGTGTGTTGTGTGTGCTAATTTTTTATAAATTATATGCTTTAAAAATCCATATATTTAAAACATTCTAAAATCACGAAATAATCAACTAATGGTAAAATCAATACCACATTCTGTTAAGTTAAACAGTTTTTGTAAAGTTTTACCGCATAGTATAACCCAAAAATGGTAAGAAGTATTAAGTTTAAGTTTATTTTACATTATATAAAGTTTTTCGTACAAAGACAAAATTATCTATTTTTTTCGTCTATGGTTTCGATTTTTTATATTTATTCTAGGCTCCACCACCTCCTCCACCCTCTCAATCGAGCAGCACGACCAGCGATCTGTCTCTCAACCTGAGATCCGGGTCTAAGACCACTAGCGCCCCTAGCAGCCCTGCCAAGTCCAGGGAATCCCTCCTTCAAAGGGTCCAATCGTTGACTGGACAAGCCAAGGAGCAAGGAGCATCAATCCTAGGGGCTGCAGTGTCTAGTGCCACATCCAGAGTGAGTGCCACCGTGTCTGGAAGACATCTGACTCTACTGGTAAGCCAACTTTAAAAATGCAGAAAGACAAATCCTTAGATGATTTAAAAAATCAGCTTTTACTGGTGAAAGTTATGTTGAATATAATCTAAAATATATAGGGTATTACCAAAAATTTAAATTAATAAATTTGTAATGGGTTACCTACACTCACAGGCAAAATAATCGATCCACACAAATTTTCGATGAATTTCAATCGCAAATAATTTTTTTATTTGATTTCGGATTTAAATAAATATTAAAGAATATTGTAGATACATTAATGGAGAATCGCTCACATTTTAAAAATTACTAAAAAATACACGTACGTTTATAATATACAGGTTTAAACAAAAATATGTTTTTTACCATAAGTTTAAGACACTCTGTAGAGTGGCAAAACCGTATATTGTTCTAAATTAAGTTTTATTTATCAAGTCACATCTATTTTTAACATTTTTGTTTTTGGTTCACCTTGATATATTTATTTTTGTGGAAAATATGGATTTAAAAAAAAAACATTGCAATTTCCAATATTTTTCCTGTATGAAAAACTAAGGTTGCTATGGTCCATCCATAGCCTATGGAGGATGACAGTAACAGTTTTGTTGAATCATCCCATACTTGGACATGTCATATACAGCTTTCAAAAGCAATACAATTTTTTGTAAATTATTGTGTTAATTTTGAGGTGTCTTCTTACCTTGTAAAATGTCTCCGACTGATGTTGCCCTTTGTACTTTACTTCTTGTGACGTTTAAAACACTTGCCACGTAATACTGTGACCGTCCATCCTGGATTAAATGAATGGCTCTGGCAACATCAGTCGGAGACATGTCTATTTTTTAAAGTAAGAAGACACCTCAAAATTTAAACATTAATTTGCAAAAAACAATTTGATAGCTTTTGAAAGCCGTGTATGACATGTCCAAGTATGGGATGATTCAACAAAACTGCCACTGTCATTCTCCATAGCAACCTTAGTTCTTCATACAGAAAAATATTGGAAATTGCAATGTTTTTTTAGAAAGTCCATATTTTCCACAAAAATAAATATATCGAGGTGAACCAAAAATAAAACTGTTAAGAATATATGTGACTTGATAAATAAAACTTAATTTAGAACAATATACGGTTTTGCCACTCTATAGAGTGTCTTAAATTTATGGTAAAAAACATATTTTTGTTTAAACCTGTATATTATAAACGTAAGTGTATTTTTTAGTAATTTTTAAAATGTGAGAGATTGTCCATTAATTTATCTACAATATTCTTTAATATTCGTTTAAATCCGACATCAAATAAAAAAGTTATTTGGGATTGAAATTCATCGAAAATTTGTGTGGATCGATTATTTTGCCTATGAGTGTATTATGGGTACCTACCGATTTTAAAATAAAAAGTTAAATTTTACTCACCGCTGTTTATATAAGGGCGAAGAATCAAAATTTCGTTCGTGTTTCACTCCGTATAGTAACTCGATACTGATGAGCACCAATAGAGCTGTCTATCGATGCTGGTGAGGAACACGAACGCAATTAAACAAAAGCGGAGGCTAAATAATTGCTAATTAAATACCTATAGTAAGTAATAGGGTGTTTCAAAAAAATCGACTTTTTCTTTTTCTCCAAATGGTCGGCAAATTCTTTCAGAGGATGTCAAAACAAAGACCTCGTTAAAATTTGAGCTTTTAATTTGAAGATTTAGAGGTCGCGGATCGCAATTTTCTATTTCCCATTTAAATAACATAGGAATTTTTTTTTTAACTTTGGAATTTTATACGTCTATATCGAATCAACTTATGGCAAGGAACATATTAGATTTTTACAGTAAATTTAACGCTCTATGAAGAAAATTCGATGGAAATTAAACTTTGGCCTCGAATAACTCTGGAAGGAATCAATTTATAGAAAAATGATAGAGCGTTAAATTTACTATGAAAATCTAAGATGATCCTTGCCATAAGTTGATTCGATTCAGACATATAATATTCCAAAGTAAAAAAAAAAATTCCCATGTTATTTAAATGGGAAATAGAAAATTGCGATCCGAGACCTCTAAATCTTCAAATTAAAAGCTCAAATTTTGACGAGGTCTTTGTTTTGACTACCTCTGAAAGAATTTGCCGACCATTTGAAGAAAAAGAAAAATTAGATTTTTTTGAAACACCCTAGTAAGTAATATACGTAAATATTGGAATCTATCTAACAAACTGGATAAAAGATAAAAGAAATACTTTAGCTTCTGAGCTTCAAGAATGAGAGAATGGGCGTAAGAATATTTCAGTCCTTTTTTTCTTTAGGTTATTGATGATCAAAATACCGATTGGAGCAAGTATTTCCGTGGCAAAAAAATCGGTGATTATGACATACGTGTGGAACAAGCAGAGTTCAGGGAAATCACCGTAACCGCTACCGCTGAGGCGTCTATTGTGTCAATGGCGGTATTCAGAGGCGGAACAAGAGTTGGCCGGTCTTTCAGACCAGATTTTCTTTTGGTGAGTAGTAAAACACAGTCGGTAGAAAAATACTGTTTATTGACAAAACACTTTGGTAGTTTTGTTCTTGATAAGGAACTAATATAAAATAAGTTAGCAGTTCTATCTAAATAGGATTTGGTGCCAGAACAATTTTTGTTATCTTTTGTAGGTTAGACAGAATCTGAAGGATGCCGGTGAGAACTACAAAAGGCTGATGTTAGCTCTCAAATTTGGAGGAGTGCCCAGCATTAATAGCATAAATTCCATTTTTAATTTCCAGGTAAAAAAGACATTCTCATCGAGAGAAAAAACATTAATAAATATCAACAACAATGATAGCTCAGTCATATTAGGAGGAACTGCAATAATATTAAAATCTTTATTTAGTAAATTCGCAATAAAATACTTTTTGGCAAATACAACCTAATATGACAGTGCTAACCTATAACTTAGGGTAATAATAAATCGGTGATATTTCTGTTTGTGTGCAGGACAAGCCTTGGGTCTTCGGTCACCTTCTCCAAATCCAAAGACGGCTGGGCAAGGAATGTTTTCCTCTTATTGAGCAGACCTTTTACCCTGACCATCGGGAAATGGTGAGTATACTCTTTTGTGCACTTTCTTAGATTCTGTGTTGTCCTCCAAACGCATCTGTTATGTTTGTTACGCAGGCAAATACCCTAAAAACAGAAACAAGTTTTAGTAACATTTTTTGTCAAGTTGGATCGCACAAGTTTGTTGTTGAATGAACAATATTTACTAGGCACTTAAAAATCAAATCCACTAAAGGAGATTGAAGACTGAATGATACTTACTTCTTTATCCTGACAAGGTATATTCCAGTAACATTTATCTGGGGATCTTTCTCTGGCACATCTATTTCTTGGGCAAGATTGCACATTACAAGCACAACCGTGTTTGTACAATAATTTAAAGCCCTTTTTTTGCCTCTTGGTTAAGTCAGTTTTGTTGATGTACATATCGCAGAACGTCATATGAGCTTGTAGGCTGTAAATGTGTCCTGATAGGACGTAGGTATTTTTTGCTATTAATGGTGGTGGGTCGCATATACTTCCATAGCCTGGGGCATGAATTTTTCCTGATTTTAAGGCTACCAAAGCCTTTTCTGTCATTTTGTATTCATCTTTGATACGGACTTTATACGTCAAAGTGTTATTTGACTCTATAATCCTCACGACTTTGGCCAGAATCACTAAAAAAAAAACCTTAAAATTATTTATGCAACTATTTTTGTAACCCAAGAACTGTTAACATTTAACATTTTAAAATCCAGCGCGATTGTATATAAACACAAGATCAAGGCTAGATTGATATAATAATAAATGTGTCTAGGTAGTAAAATATCTTGTTACCAACCGTTTTAATCAAAACTACAGACAGTGTTGTGGTTTGGCGTAATTCCCAATGAATTTATAAAAACAATTAATTTTTTTAAGTATGATTTCATTTATGTTTGGCATACTTTGCAACTGGTGGGTGTAAATGTTTACGACATGCACTGAATTTTATATGCAATGGCTTGTTTATCTTTAAAATTGCGTCTATTTACTGTAATTTCTTAAAATAAACCTCACACTGTAGTACAGAGTGAGAAAGTTTTATATAAAAATTAAATAATTTTTCTGTCATTGTCGACAGTCGCTCGCACGTTTTACTTCTTCTTACGACTACAAAAAATTAAAATATTCTATAAAAACTTGATCCATGCTTTAGCCATTTAATTACCTATTCATTTCTTTTGATGTTTTATCCAAAACTAATTTATAGAAGCAATAAAAAAATAAAAATAGACTTATTACGCAAGTAAGAAATTAAAATCGAGCTTCTGGTTTCTAAAGTTAATTTAAATTTTATTGTTTTTATCTTGATATTATTACATATACAGAGCGGTACTTTGTTAATATCCTTATCATAATATAACCATTGTTTCAAGTAATTATTTAAAATAATTCGACCTTAATGTCAATTAATAAGAAAATTGACAATCGTAGACATAAATACCCTGCTTATTATGCTGTCAATTAGTCAGGAATAAATTTAAAACAACATTTTTATATTTTAAATAGTAAATGTTGCAACTATGCATTTTTCGTAAAAAAATTAAAACAATAAATTAACAAACAAAATTCAATGTCAAAAGTACAAATTTTATTAACATTTTATTTAAGTTTTTTATTAAGTCGATTTTATGGTCTGTAAAAGCAATGCATTCCAATTTGAATGTGTAATTTATGTCATAAATATGGGCACGAGGTATATAATTGGATTTAAAAATATAGGCTACCGTGTAATGACATTTTATGTACCCGGCCTTAAATCATTTTTGCATTTAAATGAAATTTTAACTACCTTTATGCAGTTCACCGTACAAAAAAGACTGTCTGGGTTTGAATTAAATGGCAACACTGGAAGAGCAAAAATATAAAAACATTAATACTATAGTAGCCATTTGATAAAATACAATTAATAGTTATTTATGTCATAAGGCTGAGAAGTAAGTCTTTTTGTGCTGAACTCAAAGTTTGCAAAAATGTTTGTTCCTTATTAATGTTTTTATATTTTTGCTCCTCCAGTGTTGTTCCACTATAGTATACTTTAAAGCCAAAACTGTTTTTTAGAAAACCCATAAAGAAATATTACAAAATCATAAAGAATAAATTTTTATATTATATTATAATAATAAGTAAAGATAATCTAAATAATCTTATTGATAAAATAGATACGTACCAAAATCTGAATTACAATAATAATGTTGAGGATGCATTTTCATGCACATGCAGGCATTGGAATAGACTATAGAAATTGTGCAGAAAATAGCCATTGTCAAAATTTGTCTCCACATGATCTGCAACAAAATATCACATCACAATTCAAGCGAAACTATAAACAACATTTTTAAATAAGCGTTTGAAAAAACGTCTTCAATTAATTTTAAAGCATCTAATTTGTTAAATTTACGTAAACAGTATGTTTTACAAGAGAACTAATTTGGGACATTTATTTTTGGAACGCACACAAATTAAAAATTCTTTTTTTAATTTTCCCTGAGCTTCAGTCGAGTTTTTTTAATTAACTTTAAATTGGGAAGGTGTTGCACCGTACGTAATTTCAATATTTAACCATTTGGTTTTGTTTGTTTTGGTTTTTAATTTAAGAGGCCAAACCCACATGAAAAATTGGTGAAACCTAATTGGGCGTAAACAATTATTCTCTTAATGTTTATCAACTCTGGTATTGACATTCAACCACGTAAATTTTGTTTTCATTAACTCAAAATTCATTAATTAAAGTTTCTCTTCGTTAACGTGCAAACATTTTCATAAATTGCATTAACTTTTAAGTACCTAGACTTTGTTTATTTGAACACATTTTATTAAGTTTTTAGTTAGTGTAATATTGAACATAAAACATGAAGTAAGTATATTGTGGGACTAGTGAAAAAAAAAGATTCCTTGAGGGTAAAGTTAAGCCTCACGAGATATACCCAATAAATAAATATACACAACAGTGCACTGAAAAAAATGATTCCTTAGATTTAGAATTTTATTTATATTTTAGAATATTTACTTGAATAAAATTAATTTAATTTATTGGATTAAAAGAAAGTTTTTTATTGTAGCATGTTTAACACAGTTCGGTGTCTTAAACTTTAAAAGTTTATCATTTTCTTACTTTAAAATTTAATTTTTTATGTATTATTTGTTGTCTATTTACCATAAATGAGGATAATTTATTAATTATACAATATTATATTTTATTATTTTATACATTAACAATAATCTTGTTCACACTTATTTTATTTTATTAAACTAATAATTACTACATACCATAACATATATGTATACGTATTCGCGTAATTTAATCCTATTTAAAGTATGATAAATAATGTGTGAAATGTATTAATTTTTAATTTGACTTGGCAAGGCAAGTTTACTTAAATTTTAAAAGGTTACTTAAATTGTAGAATTTAGCATATTAGAACAGCTGAATTTTAAAAACAGCGATTTAGTGCTGCAAAAGGAGTTCCAGGGTCACAAAAATACCATTCATTCGTTCCGGCCGAAAAAGAAGTACTGTACTGTAAAAAAATATCGTTTGCTTCCGAATATTCTGTTTTTCCTAAAAAAGTAAAATAGTTTATGTTTAAATGTTTTAACTTAATTGTTTTAAGTTATTATATTAAAATTTTAATTATTAAATTATAGTATTATATTGCGTAGGACATGCAAATATTCAAAATGGAATAGGTTATTAATTAGGTGTTTATGTTTCGTGTACAATTTAGATTAATTTATACTTAAATAATAAACTACCGATGTACATACCAATGATTGAAAAAAGTATTGTGAGACCCTTTACCTATCAGTTATTTACTTAGCGGATCGAACAGAGCCAGTCGATGCCCGATCCCTGTGCGTTTTAAAGCTTTTATTTAAAAGAATAGGCTTTTTTTAATACTTATTTTTAAAAAATAAAAATGTTCCCATTTTGAGAAAAAAGTAAAAATATTTTTATATAAATTTTTCTTAGCCAAAAAATTTTGACGAAAAAAAAAGATATAGGATATATGTATTATTTGTTGATTTAAAAAAAAAGTCATTTATATTTTTTTTATCAACCAAAAGACTTTCACAAAAGAAAAAGAAAACTTTCAAGCCCCTGTATATCTGCAACCCGTCAGTCTTTTCCGCTGCCCTTTTGCTTAATTAAAGTAGTCCGATAGGACAATGATTTAGCAAAGTTTCATCAAAATCGGAAACAACTTAAGTTTAAGTGAAAATTATTTTATCTTAATAAAAAATACAAAAGTATTAAATAGTTTCTTGAAGCCAATATTTGAAAGGATTATTTGAACGTTTGTACTAACCTTTTGATTTCGCCGTATACGGCGTAGTGCAGTTAACTAAATTTAACTGATATAGCGTTTAAAATTTTGCTTACAGTGCCCATAAAACATTCTCTTTTTTTAACTGTGAAAAACTGCTTCTATATCGGTTTTAAGCCTATTTTTGAGGAATAAATTTTGATTTACACAGAAAAAATTAATATTTTAACGCCGGTAGATTCTCAAGTCAGAAATTCTAACGGGAATTCCAATAAATACAACTATCACTTTTTGTACCTTTAACATGCACATGTAAGAATTTTTAATACTTTGTGATAAATATTGTAAAAAGATTTTTTATCGATTTATTGTCTACGCTTATGTATCTTATTTTTGTATTAGGAAATTAAAGTTATTATTATACTAATACAATAATGAAAAATTTTAAAGGGCTATTTGAGGCTAATAATATTGATATTATATTACCTTTGTTAAAAGATAAAATGGTATTAAATGGTTTAAACAAAAATTATACAGACTAAAGTATTTGGTTCATTTCTTTCACACTTTTGTAGTGATTACTTTGCAGTTTTTTGCAATTTCATGGAAAGGATTTTGTATACATAACATTACAGATGTTGCTTTATAGAATGCCGACAAATTTATAGCTCAATTTAGCGAATGCAATACAAATATACTACTTTAACAGAGTTTAGATATAAATGTTTCTATACGGCAAAGTGTAGAATC